CAGTATATTGCCGCCATATTGGTTTTCGGTTATCTCGATCATCGGTTATCTCGACGCTTTTTGGCAACCCCCTAGGCCGGCGACATAACCGGGTTTGACTGTATATTAGTTAGGCCAACGTACACTAAAAAGTAAACGCACTGATAGCTACATTCTTGCTTTAAGAATTTTTGAAACAAATTTTAGTACAGTATAATTTAAAATTTTAGATATTCATTGGCGGGCCAATCTAAATAGTACGGCGGGCCAACCTTGGCCCGCGGGCCCCACTTTGGGCACCCCTGATCTAGAGACTCTGGGTGAGTTTCTGAGTGAGTCTCTGGGTGAGTCTCTGAGTGATCAGCTACACAGCAGATTTAACGCTCTTGGTTGCTGGCATTCTTGTGCAGGTGACACCTCCACCCCTCAGCAGGCCCATGAAAGGGCACCACGTGAACCAGAGCCTGTCCCAGCAGGCCTCCAGTTCATGCCACTGTGTGTTAGGGGACCAGCGTGGCCATCTTCAGCGCCCAGGAGAGGGCGCAATCCCCCATGCTCAAGCCGTCCTGTTACCCAGTGACTCCTGCCATAAATGTCTGCCATCCTCGCGGCAAGTGCATCAAGGTCTGCCGAGCCAGCTGGATGTATTCTATCCAGATGGATTTCGTACGCTACAGTACCACCGGTCAACCTGCAGGGCACAGCGCAGTGAGAGCCCCAACCGCATTCGCCATTTGGTTCATTCTGTCCAGCGTCTTTTCAACAAGTCACACTCCGTGGAGGACAGTGCAACACGGATTGATTACAACTACCCAGGCCCCGAGCACCAGGATAGGGTTTCTAGAGGTCATGCGGTCAGGTCCAGCCAGGAGCTTGGCCATAGTGAGGGTCACTGTGCTGCATCTCAGCCTGCTCTGCGATCCAGTCGACGTAGTAGGAGCCATGAGCGCAACAAAAACAAAGACCATCACCAGGACAAGGACCTGGGCTTCTTCAGCTCTGATGGCAACATAGATGATGATAGTAGAGGGTCCCATGGGGTCTCCCGGGGTTGCCAAACCTTGGACAGGGAGGTGAGGTTAAGAACCCCCAAAGGAGGGTGCCTGGTCTGCAGCAGCATGGCTCTCTGTAAAGAGGCCAGACCTTCTGCCTATGGAGATGTCTGGACCTCTGCAAAAGTCAGTCAGGCACAAGAACTCCCCAGAGCAACCAATGAGAAGCTGCTGGAAAGTCACACACATACCAGAACAAGCAATGACAAGCAACTGGGAAGTCACACACACCCCAGAACAACCAGTGAGAAGCTACTGGGAAATCACACACACCCCAGTTCAGCAAATGATAAGCTACTGGAAAGTCATACACATCCAAAGGCAACGAATGACAAGCTACAGGAAAGTCACACACACTCCATGACAGCCAATGACAAGCTAATGAGAGGTCACGAACACCCCAGGGCAGCCAATGACAAGCTAATGGGAGGTCACGAACACCCCAGGGCAGCCAATGACAAGCTAATGGGAGGTCACCCACACCCCAGGGCAGCCAATGACAAGCTAATGGGAGGTCACCCACACCCCAGGGCAGCCAA